ATATATTGTTGTTAAGTGCCAGCAAGTCAGTTCCAACCCATTGCAACCCTGTACAGGATTTCTGAGCAGAGGGACTGACCATGCAATTCAAACAGTTTTGCAGTTTGTATGCACACACACACTCATACAGTGGCTCTGTGGACTAATATGCCAGTCTGCAAAGCCGTTTTAACTGCAAGGTCAGCGGTTCAAGCTCACCAGCTGCTCCTTGTTACCCCTATACAGGGTCGCTATGGATTGAATCGACTTGACGGCACTTAACAACAATAACAACATACACACACACACACATATATATATAAACTGTATTTTATATATGCATAAACCAAAAACCCAAACACATTTCTGTCTAGTTGATGCCAACTCTTTTAGCTGTAATCTTTATGAAAATCTATTGCTATATATTTCTTTGTGACACCACTGAGTGGATTTAAACTGCCCGTCTTTAAGCTAATTGTTAAGTGCCATTGAGTTTGTTTCCACTCAGCATCCAGGTATAGTTTCCACTCTAGTACCATAGTGGTTACGAGTCGGGCTGCGAAACTCAAGGTCAGCAGTTGGAAACTACCAGCTGTTCCGTGGGAGACAGATGAGGCTTTCTGCTCCCGTAAAGATTTACAGCCTCAGAAACCCTGTACAGGGCTGCTATGAGTCGGAACCGACCCACGGCACACAACTACCACCAGTCAGTCTCAAACTGTTTGCACCCCCAGGAACCTCATTTAAAGCATTTGATACATTTCATTTTTTAAAAATGGAATTATATTTTATCTACAATTCTGCTTTGATTCTTGCACTTAATAATTTAGCCTTTTAAAATAGATTTGATCGTATTATGTTTTCAAGGTACGAAAAGCAGCTGAAGAAGAAAATTGCTGTTTTGGCACTGTTGATACTTGGTTGTTATATAAGCTCACAAAAGGTAAAAGATGATGTGATATTTCTATTTCTAGTAACTGCAATGTGTCCAAAAAGATTTACCTTAAAAAACAATAACAGAACTTACTTTTTTCCCCTCTATTTTTCCTTCCTGTATCGCAGACATACTGCTCTTTGTACCCTAATAGCTACTTGTTGCAATAAAGCTAGGTGAGTTTTGGATTTGTTGTTATAGGAAGGTGACTTTAAGATTAAAATGAAACCTTCAATACAAGACTTGGGGACAACAGTGGGAAGTCCTACTTGGACACCAGATCCACCACTTTGTGAGTGGTATAATTACAGACAAGCTCAGCGTTTCTAACCCTCTGGCCTCCCTTTTAAATTAGGAATCATAAAATGACAATGAGTTCCTGAAGAGTAAGTGACAAATTGCATTGGACATTGTATTGGAAATACACATGTTGACATGATTTTGGAAGTAGACAGAGTTTCAGATTATAAACCAGCAACAGGTGTCTGTTTATACTATCTGATAATATATGTATTATTTCCAATGTAAATTTAGGTTCTGAATATGCCACAGATTTTTCAAATGCCAGTACAACTGGACTTTTTGACCCATATAAGGTAAAGATTTTTTTCCCCTTCTTTTTGAATTGCCAGTTTGTGTGACTTAGGCTGGACTCTCATGACCTGTTTTTATGCTCAGATGTGTTGGAGCGGGCTCATTACTTCCTTGCTTTCGATCCCACTCTCGCTCCTGCCTCCCCTGAGGGACACAAGGTAATAATGAACATCAACTGTAGAAACCAACAAAATTGACCCTGAATTTCTTTTACCTTAGAAGGGAAAGTAATTTATTAAATGTTGGTTTAATTAAGGTATTGCTGTGTTTATATATAGCTTTTGATCTATACTAAAAGCAATTTGCTGAATTTTGGAATTCATCTTTCTAAAGTGATGATTTTTTCATCAATTTTATTTGAAGTCACAATTTTGGAACAGTGGATGAAGAGATATTTGGTGTGCCTATTCCAATTGTGGCCTTGGTAAGTAGAAAACTTGAGGGTGTTCCTTTGCATAGCGTAAACTGAGTGAATATATATGAGAATGTCTGTGGCTACATTCAAAAGAAACAAATGGTCCTTGTCAGAATAAAATGAAAGTATCTTTTTTCTTTAAAATTAAAGGGCCCTGGAAATGCTTCATAACCTTTTCTGATTTCTCTGTATATTGAGAATACATTCAAATTTGGATAAAATATTCTGAGTAGTATTTAATTTATGTTATTCTGAGACAAAAAAATTAGGACAAATGCTTAGTTTTTATTTGGTATTATACATTTAACCATTAACAGTGATATTATTGTTGTTCCATTGATTCAGTTCTGAATCATAGCGACCCTGTATCAAGAGGTTGTAAATCTTTGCAGAAGCAGAAACCCTCTCTCCCTGTGGAGTGGCTGGTGAGCTAGATCCGCCAACCTCATGGTTCAAAATCCAGTGCTTATTGTACAGTGCCACCAGCTCCTATAAACAGTGATTATTGTTGTTAAGTGCCATAGAGTTGGTTCCAACTTATAGTGAGTGACCCCGTATAGATTTTCCAAGGAGCAGCTAGTGTATTTGAGCTACTGACCTTGCAGCTCAAACTGACCTTGCGGTCCAGTGAATTATCCTGCAGTGCCAAAGCAGGACTCCATAAACAGTGATGTTGTTGTTAAGTGCCGTCGAGTCAATTCCGACCCATAGAGAGCCTGTGTAGGGTTTCCAAGGAGCAACTGGTAAGCTTGAATCACCGACTTTGCAGTCTGACACATTAGCCCATAGCACCACACCAGGACTCCACGTAAACAGCTGGTAGCGTAGTAGTTACAAATTGGGCTGCTAATCTCACGGTCAGCAGTTCGAAACTACCAGCTATTCCGTGGAGATAAATGTGGCTTTCTGCTCCCGTAAAGATTTACAGCCTTGGAAATCCTGTACGAGGTCGCTATGAGTCGGAACCGACTCCATGGCACACCACCACCACCACCAGTAGAGAAACTTGTAGGAGAATGAAAAATGAGCTGTTAGTGATTTTTAATCTTTTCTTGATTATCCCATTCCCTTCTGTTTAGATGAATGAGCCAGGTATTTGGAGGACCCCAAGGATTTCTCACCTGACAGGAAAGCTCAAGTGTTACCTTTGATTTCCTGTGATAGCTTAAGGACCACCTGTCCCTGAATGGATAGTCTCCATGACAGGGAAGAAGGCACTGGAAGAGGAACTTAATTTCTAAGTTACAATTCATAGTCATTTAGAGAGGCTCATTCATATTCAATCAAAGGGTAAACTCGGGTTTAGATTCATATATGGTAGGAAAAGTTATAAATTAGTGAAAAAAGGTTTATTTTTCCAAATGAATTTTGTCCCTTAAAATATTGCTGTATGTTTATCTACATTTAG